CCGGGGAGGGGGGTTGGTGAGTGCAGTGAGTGGGGGCACTGTCCCCCTAGTTTATAAACAAAGTCCACACCCCACCCTCTCATTTCTTGAGCTCTTTGTTTTTCAACAAGAAAAATCCTGAACTCGTGGAATTTCCCACAAAGTGGAAAAGCTGGTTCCTGCCCATCTCGACTGAGAAACGCCTAAAACCGCGTCCGTAAGGCTGGAGGGGGGTTGGTGAGTGCAGTGAGTGGGGGCACTGTCCCCCTAGTTTATAAACAAAGTCCACACCCCACCCTCTCATTTCTTGAGCTCTTTGTTTTTCAACAAGAAAAATCCTGAACTCGTGGAATTTCCCACAAAGTGGAAAAGCTGGTTCCTGCCCATCTCGACTGAGAAACGCCTAAAACCGCGTCCGTAAGGCTGGCCTGGCCCATCAGGTGACCCGACACTGTTCTATCTGCCCCAGCTGCCGGGGCGGTAACTGCTGCTTTTCTTCCCACTCAGCTAGACCGTCCTGGGGTGAAGGGTGTGCGTCCGGGGGGGACCTTTGCTTGCACAGCTAGCGAGAGAAACACTCAGCCCATCTCTGGTTTGCCTTGCTGCTCCCCTTTGCAGGTAACCAGCACCCTCCGAGCTCCCCCTCCCCTGGATCCTCCCTCAGGAAGGCAAACAACATTTCACACGCACCCACCGTGGGCTGTGCCCGTCATCAGCCAATGGGGCCGCTTGGCAGGGGGGGCAGCTTTAACCACGGTTCCATTCCAGTAGCGACGTAGGCACCTGAAAACTCCTGGGTTTTTGCAGGCGATAACTGAGAAATCAACGGACAGGAGCAGTGTTCCTAATTCATATATAAAAATGTAACCTCCCAGTTAAAGCCATATTTTGAGTTTAGTTGTACATTTAGAAACACCACCAGGAAAATATTTCCAATCCCAAATCTTGAAGTGTCAGTTCTGGAGCCTCCACATCAGTTTGATTCTTTGTACACATAAGAACATAAGAACGGCCGTACTGGGTCAGACCAAAGGTCCATCTAGCCCAGTATCCTGTCTGCCGACAGTGGCCAGCACCAGGTGCCCCAGAGAGGGTGGATCGAAGACAATGATCAAGCGATTTGTCTCCTGCCATCCCTCTCCAGCCTCTGACAAACAGAGGCCAAGGACACCATTTTATCCCCTGGCTAATAGCCTTTTATGGACCTAACCTCCATGAAATTATCTAGCTTCTCTTTAAACTCTATTATAGTCCTAGCCTTCACCGCCTCCTCTGGCAAGGAGTTCCACAGGTTGACTACACTACTAGCTTTAGTAGAGATAAATAAAATCTGCTTTAAAATCTGCTTAGCCCTGCAATCGCTATTTTTAAATGCCTTATGGCCCACCAGGAAAGAGGCGAATGAGAGTGTGAATTTTCTCTAGGAATGTTTAAAAGTAAATAAATTACCGAGCGACAACCACACTCCAGATTGGCAGGAGGTGCCTAGTGTGTTGCCCGACGGATGTGAGAGTATAAACATCATCTCCATGGCAGTCACCGAAGGGATTCGAGTTTGAGACTCGGCCACCCTCCGAAACGTTAAGCACAGGAGACAGGGGCCAAGATGACTTACCGGGTGGAGAGGAGGATGTCCAGCACAGCAGACTCAGCTAGAAGACGGCAGGCCGTGTAGGGCAGCGTTTGTATGTTCTGCACATGTAAATACCAGCAGCGCCTTAAAACGTGTGCTGGGGAAAGTCCTAGAAGTAACAAGGGCAATTGCCACCCTGCTGAGGAATCCACCTGTGCGTGTAACCGTCTGGAAGGGCCCTGCCAGTGTAGGCCCAGGAAAGACGCTCACAGGCAGCGTGAATGCAGGAAGAGATGGCCAGCCTGGGGTATCGCTCCACCTCCAGCTTCTGTGGGACTGGCACACGGGAGTTTTCAGTGCAACTGAGGCCACGTTGGTGGGGCGAACGCGAGTTTGCTTCTTGGCAGCAGGGAAAGGCCCCTGGGGCCGTTCTTTAGCTCTTGCAGCGCAGCGCGGCCACCCCAAAGCTGGGCTAACCCCAACGTGCCTGGGGCTGGGGCTGCCAGGTGTCCGGCATCGACCCCGTCAGTCCGCTATTCCTCCGGTCCGGCACAAACATTCAGCAAGTCCCGGACCCCGGAAATGTCCGGTCAAATCCCGGGCTGTCCGGCTCACTACGGAGCCAGCCTGGCAACCACAGTGCTTCCGCAGGGGAGTCCGGCCGGAGCAGGGAGGCAAGATGGCGGGTGGTCACATGGCAGCCTGTTAGGGCCCAAAAGCCTCTCCACGTGGCTCTTGTTCTTAAAGGGGCCACAGTGGATTCTCAGGGTCCTTTTTTTTTCATATTTTTTCTGAAACCATCTAGCAACCCTACCTGAGGCAGCAGCCCCCTCCCCGGCCTGAGCAGCCCTGCATCTGTCTACTGGGGCCACAAGGGGCTGGCTCCCCCGCCTCTGGGCCCCCCCAGAGCTGCAGCAATCACCGGGGCTTTCTTCCCCAGCCACCCCGCCCTGAGCCTGCCTGGCTCAGTGGGTTCAAACAGGTGTTGCCGAAGCTCCCAGCCCTGCTGCTGGCTCTGCCATGTACAGCTCTGCATGCCTGGTGGCAGAGCCGAGAACAGCCAGCCCGGGCTGGGTAGGCGTGGGGGGAGAAGAGCAAACTGGCTTTTCAATAGGGGGCAGAGAGGAAGAGCAGCAGCAGTAGCTTTTGGCAGGCTAGTGAGGGGAAGGGAAAGCCAAGAAGCAGGCCGGGCCATAGGGCAAAGCGAGCAAGGCGATTGCCTTGGGCCCTCGCCTTCAGGGCCCCGCGCTGCGCCCGGGGCAAGAGCAGCAGCAGTAGCTTTTGGCAGGCTAGTGAGGGGAAGGGAAAGCCAAGAAGCAGGCCGGGCCATAGGGCAAAGCGAGCAAGGCGATTGCCTTGGGCCCTCGCCTTCAGGGCCCCGCGCTGCGCACAGGGCTGGGCCGCTCACGAGGGCCGTGCACTTTGCAGGGCGTCAAGGCGAATTCCCCA